ATGCAATTATACAGAGGAATTTCAAAATCAAAATGTTAAATAAGAAGAGCAAATCATAGAATTTATTCAGTATGATTCTATTAAGTTCAAAGACATTCCAACTAGATGATCATATGTATTTTGTATAATATACGAGCAGCTAGGAAATAACAAGAATATTCGGCAGATAAGCATTCTTCATGAGCATATAGGTCAATGCTACAAGTAAGAGGCAGGTAGAGGGCTGGGGTGGTGTCAGCCAAACTCTACTTCTTAAGCAGGGTTTAAGTTATTTCTCTGTATCTATTCCTATAGTGATTATGTATTTTTACTTTACATGTATGTGATATAAATGATACTTTGGGGGAGGTGGATCTGGGGCTTCAACTCAGGGCTTGTGCTTTCTCTTTGCTTTCATGGTCACAACTGATAGTACCACTTGAGCCTTGCCTCAGGCCCAACTTTTCTCTAGTTAAGTGAAGATGGAGTCTTGTGGACTTTTGGTCCACATGCTGGCTTTGAACCTCCATCTTCTAGGTGTCAGCCTCCTGAGTAGCTAGGATTACAAGTGTGTGGCACTGGGTAGACATTATAAAATATTTCTATTATGGAAAAAACTATGAGATTCCCTTCAAAATGGTCAGTGGGAAGGTATGGTATAGCCAAGTTCCCCTGAGTTAAGCTGCAGATTCTAAAGAAATCTTTCCACTATTTCTCGAAAACTCCTTGCACAGTGTTTTAGCTCTATCAGGGAAAACTACATGTGTTGGGGCAAGTTAAGTTGCTGTCAGATTAACTGATCATCAATCAAAGAAACTACTGCTTTGATTGGTAGACCAATCAGTATTTCAGATTTTAGTAGACTCTCATTTGCACTAATTAATCAGTTTTCAGTGCACTGTCACAGGGAAGAATAAATATGTGCTTATGTTCCCAGAGTTATGAACAATTCACAACAAACTAGCTTAAGAATAAACAAAATAGGATTAATATTTTTATTCCACGTGGAAAATAAGTGTTAGTAATAACACTATAGCCAATTGCTGGTGGCTCATGCCTGTAATCCTAGCTGATCTCAGGAGGCTGAGATCTGAGAATCATGGCTTGAACACAGTCTAGGCAGACAAAAAAGACTCTTATCTCCAATTAGCCAACCGTAAGCTGGAAGTAGAGGTGTGGCTCAAGTGGTACAGCACTAGTTTTGAGCAAAAAAGACAAGCTTGAGTTCAATCCCCTTAACTGGTGCCTACACAAAAAATACATGTTTAAGGTACCATTCTACAGAAGCTCAATGTAATCGAAGAGTCAGTTCTGCTCATGGAAAAGGCAAATAATAGTCCTCCCTAAATGCATTATGGTTAGCGCCTAAAACAGAGCTGGTGAGTAAAAGAAGCAGTCAGGCACTGGTGGCGCACACCTGTAATCCTAGCTACTCAGGAGGCTGGTATGTGAAGATCTGGATGGCAATTAGAAAGCACTCTGGGTGGAAAAGTCTGTGAGGCTCTTAACTCCAACCACCATACAAGCAGAATGGAGGTGTGGCTCACGCAATAGCTTGCTAGCTGTGAGAGAAAAAAGCTACAGGTGTTGAAGAACAAGACCTAGAGGCATCTCAGATCCCTTACTACCTTTCTGCCCTATTTCCTCGAACATGACAAACAACACAGCAGACACCACAAAAACAAGACAGAGACAATTGCAGACCCAGCGGCTCCCTCTCCTCAGCAGAAAATTAAGCCCAAGAACAAACAAGATGTAATCCTGCTGGTGGGGCCTTGGGGGACTCTAACCCCCTTGGTCTCCTGATGGACTTGGGGACTCGAACCCCTTCCTGGCGACCTGCAGATGGAGGGATGGGACGTCTCTGCATCCACTCCAGCCCTGGGGAGCAATACTGCGTCCAGTTTCTTCCCAGTGGGCCTCCCCTGGAGCTCCACAAACGCAGAAACAGTAGGGGGGACTCGAACCCCCTCCTACCTCCAGAGGTTTTTCTCAGAAATTCTGATGCTGGCTCAGTCCTCGTCGTTTGATACTGGATGAGCCCCCAAGATATTAGGGTGCCCCCTCCAATATTGGGGTCCGTGATCAAAGGATCAAGATTGAAACAAAGCGAAAGTCAGACGAAGCTATATTTTGTGCCAAGCATCTAGAAACAGACTGAGCGGTCAGCGCCGCCTGGGCAGAGAGCGAACCCCGCCCAGCTGCACAGGCTTTTATAGGGAACAGGCCATGCAGTTTAGCCAAGAGCGTTGCAACAGTCGCACAAAATTGTACGGTTAGGTGGAGCCACACCCAGGTGACCAAGGAGGTTACAACTTGTCCCTAAGCAGTTGCTTAAACCAGCCTTCCACTTTGGCCAGTTTTGGCATGCGGGTTTGGGGTGCAAAAGGAGGGTTTGCATTCCATGGGGGGGGGGTGGTTACATATGTGCTCTTTACTGATTGGATGTGTCCACCTTGCCTCTTGTCTTTTGTTCTCTAGGCTCTGTTATCAGAGCCTAGAGAACATTTTTCCTAGGCTTGTAAACAACAAAATGGCTGTTTAACCAGTGTGGAGTCACGTATGCTCACTGGGTCCTAACATTAAACTGGGGTCCCAACAACAGGTAATGCCCAGGCCTTGAGTTCCAGACCAGATACTGGCACAAGCTCACTTTCTCCCCATTCCCCGCCCGCCCCCCACACACACTAAATAAAGAAGCATCCATCCATAAGCAAATGCTGGCCAAGAGGAGTAAAGCATGCCCTTGCTCCAGCCTTGCAGTAAAGGCCCTTCATCGGGCCTACCATCCTATCAGCATGGAAAGAATACAACACACACTGACACAATTGAAACTACCTCAGTTCACTGTTGTGAGAAGAACAGAATGACAATTACGAGCGAAATCAAGCTAACCTATTTCTGGGAAGCACAGAGTTTCCATTTATAATGAAATAAAAATATGATTCAAGTAAAAACCTTTGAATTCTCATTCTCTCCCCAACCACTTCCCCTTGTTTTTGTATGAGGGAACAAAAGGCTTCAATTTAGACATCCACTCCTCTTCCCCTGCCCTTCTCCCCCTCCTCTCCTGCTGCTTCTCTCTCCTTCTTTCTTTCCTTCTCTCCTCCCTCTCCATCTCTCTTCTCTCTTAACACCTGCTTCGTCTCTCTTTTGCTCTATTCTCTTCCCTTCTGACCTCATCCCTTTAACCTCCACCCTACCCCTATCTCTCTAGCTGTTATTGAATTTTATAATTGTATATTGTTTGTGGGGGCAGTCAGGGCTCTGGAATGTGCCCCATTTCCTTATAACAGCCAGAATAGATCACCTTGGATTTTATTCCTTCACCCTGGCTCCCTTGGGATAACTAAATCCTAGCTTGCTTAGCATTGGACACTTGGCTGGGGCAAAATAAAGTACATCATGAAAATGAATATCATTTCCTTCCTTCCTTCCTTCCTTCCTTCCTTCCTTCCTTCCTTCCTTCCTTCCTTCCTTCCTTCCTTCCTTCCTTCCTTCCCTCCTCCCTTCCTTCCCTCTTCCTTCCCTTTGTTCCCTCCCTCCCTGTCTTCCTTCCCTCTCTCCCTCCCTTCTTTTCCTCTCTTCAATCTTTTCCTCCATCCCTTCATTCTTTTCCTCCCTCCCTCCCTCCTTTCCTTTCTTCCTTCCTTCCTTCTTTCCTTCCTTCCAACCCTCCTTCCTCCCTTCCTTCCCTCCTCCCTCCCTTTGTTCCCTTCCTGGCTGCCTTCCCTCCCTCCCTTCTTTTCATCTCTTCAATCTTTTCCTCCCTTCCTTCATTTTTTCCCTCCCTCCCTCCCTCCCTCCCTCCCTTCCTTCCTTCCTTCCTTCCTTCCTTCCTTCCTTCCTTCCTTCCTTCCTTCCCTCCCTCCCTTCCTTTCCTCCCTTCAATCTTTTCCTCCCTTATTTCATTCTTTTCCTCCCTCTCTCCCTCCCTCTCTCCCTCTCTCCCTTCCTTCCCTTCCTTCCTTCCTTCCTTCCTATCTTTCTTTCTTTCTTTCTTTCTTTCTTTCTTTCTTTCTTTCTTTCTTTCTTTCTTTCTTTCTTTCTTTCTTTCTTTCTTTCTTTCTTTCTTCCTTCCTTCCTTCCTTCCTTTCTTCCCTCCCTCCATCCCTCCCTCCTTCCCTCCATTCCCTCCCTCCCTTTCCTCCCTCCATTTCCTTCCTCCCTTCCTTTCCTTCCCTCCCTCTCCTCCCTCCCTTCCTTCCCTCCCTCCCTTTTCTTCTCTTTTCTTTTCTTTTGTTTTCTTTTCCTTCCTTTTTTTCTTTCTTTGAAAATATGACTCAAAAAAGCAGGACTCCTGACACAGAGCCCAACAAGACACTATTCCTTAACCTCCAAAGAAACCCAAACCACCCCAGCCCCTTCTGTGGTGGGGCTCAGGGCAGGGACTCAGGACTCCTGAGATCAGGCAGTGGTGTCTGGGGCCTGGGAAGGAAGGGCAGGGGAGCTCACCACAGGCACAGGACGCATGGTGGCATTTGTTTTGGCAGGGCTGTCACCAATGCCTAACTTCAGGACAGGATGCTGCTTTCAAAGCTGACACTACATGTTAGTGTCACAGTGATGCCTTGAGGAAAGGGGAGGGCAGGAAGATCCCGCTACAGTTCCTGGGAGTTTTCAAACAAGGAATGAAGAACCATTTGGCTCAGCGTAGCTATTTCTCTGTGGCAAGTGCAGTCAGATTTCTAACTCCATTGGAACTACATTCAAGGATGATTTAGGGTTGGATGATACTAAGCAAGCAGGAAGCTTTGATAAACAGGGAGACTTTATGAACTAAATTGTCTCCCTGGGAGCTAATTGATTCTCAACACTTTAACCCAACCGTAGTTTCTATGTTGGGGACAAGTGCTTGACAGGATTGTACTATGTCACTACAGTGCCCCAGGATCTGGGGATGCATGACACATGCATTGAATTATAACTAGCTCCTTACACCCGAAAGCTCCTTCAAGTCACACACCCTTGGTCGCAGTAGCATCCGTTGAGGTGCTAATGTTGACGGTTCTCTTCTACAGATGCCCCTCCTAGATGTTCAGTTCCTAAAGGGCTACAAGGAACTACGCTTGGCCCACTTTGTTCTTAGTGCCATCACCATGGGGTATGTCTGGCAGGAAGGAGAGACTCAGCCCAAAGAGGTAAGGGGCACCGGGACCTGTCCTGTAACCTCCCAGTTTTGCTGTTTCTGGAACACCACACCCTGCTCAGTGCTAGGCTGTTGAATAGGTGCTGCCTTGTTTTCCTTCCCATCTGTTAGTTGAAGGGGAGGTGAAAAGCTCACTGAAACGAAGGGATTCCCCCCACCCCCCACACCCCACACACACTAATTTTCTTTTAGACTGATGGCCATTTCACTCTTTGATCAGTTTTGAAACTATTGATGTGCACACATCCAGCTACGTAATTTCCATGTATATTGCTGTGTGTTCCATGGACTGTTGTTCACAAAAAACTGTGTGAAGTGTATAGATTTGAGTGATTCATACTTATTCCCCAGGGTGGGTCTCTATCACAGCTGAAGTAATTTCCTGGGTCATGTCCAATCTCAAATATGCTAATCATCTGGATTCCTATGTAAAAGGTTCTGCCAAGAAATCTTGCCCTTCCATTTGTGGAAGTCTCCAGGACTTTGGGGCTGCCTCCTATCCTGGTCCATGCTGATTTAGTGCTGACGAACTGGACCAAAAGGAACTCAGAAGGGTAAGGAAGAGGGGAAATGCTTCAAATTTTAACAGATTGGAATTCAGTATGGCAGTCTTGTGATCCTGGCTCTTCCAACCAGAGAAGTAATTAGGAAAGTTCATACGTATCACACGGCTTATGATTCTGCAGGAATGGTGAAGTAGATCATGCATCCAGCATTCTTGGTCGCAGAGTACCTTCTCCATCCATTCAGCATACATGGGGTTGGATCACTGTTGCTTGCTGCTTCCGCATCCCACTGGATTCCTCCACTGAACCATCAAGCTCCACTGTAGTCATATCTCATTTATTCTTTCTCATCCATTCAAGTCCAGTTAGGACTCAGTGGATGGTTATGATTTGTGAGTGGGAGTTCAAGTATGCTGGATTGAGAATTTGACTAACAATATGATTGTTCCCACTTGGCTTCCAGTACTTTTTGATAATGGTGCTGGTTGTAAAAGCATTGTCTATTGAAATGACATGGGATTGTTTTGTTTTCATGGGTTTTGTTGTTGTTTTGTTTTGTCTTATTTTGTAAGAATGTGGCTTGAGCTCAGGGCCTTGCAACTGCTTGGTTGGTGCTCTACCACTTGAACCCAACTTTCTGCTGGTTATTTCAGAGATGGAGTTTCATCAATTTTTTTCCCCAAACTGGCTTTGAACCTTGTTGATCCAGATCTTAGTCTCTTAGGTAGCTAGGGTTACAGATATGAGCCACTGGCACCTGGCTTAGCGTGAGGTATTTAAAAAAAAAGTAAATGTTTAGTTTAACTTTTTATCAAGTAGTTTTATAAGGGGATTTTGTTTTTAACAAGTCCAATTATGAGTACAGTACTTCTTGATTATAATCACGCTTCTACCATGAGTTTTTAACCATCAAGAAATCCGGTCATCAGAATGATGTGGAAGAATTGCAAGTATTACATTTTTTTTGAACTTCATATTCACAGCAAAATTCCCAACTGTAGATATGGCATTTTTCTTTCAGCAATTAAAACATCATCGAGGTATTGAGGTTGGATTTGAAAGAGAACTTTCTCTGAGGAATGGCTGTGGGTAGCCAGGGGTTGCTGAGTAGATTATTGGAAACTATTACAAAGGAATTTCAAATAAGTATAGCTTAGCTTTTGGGGCTAACTTCTATACCTCTGGGAGAGAATGCAATATTGCATAAGCCTTGGGATTTGATGTGTTCTATAGTTATTAATCATGCACCTTGACCAATTTATGCTTCAATAAAAATATCAAATATTGACAGCTATTACATGTGGCTTAGCATTTGGGTGGGATCAAATAATAAGCTTACATGCATGAATTTTTGTGGTCAGTGCATTGAATGTTTAGTATATAACTCACAGGAATAGGGAGAACGTGGGAAAGTTGGAGGGAAAGTGGCTGGGATGGGCAAGGAAAAGTTGGAAAATACAATAGCAATCCAGTGTTTTAGGACATGGGAGTTGAGAGTTTGCAGCCTAAGGCGCAGATTCAGTCCTGGGCCCCCAGTCCTTCTGGGTAATCAGTTCTTGGAATCTGAAGATGCCTACCACTTAGAGTAAGTGCTATGAAAAACAAAAGACCCTCATTACTCAAGAGGCTGAGATCTGAGGATCATGTTTCAAAGCCAGCCTGTTCTGGAAAGTCCTGGAGACTCTTATTTGCAATTAACCACCCAAAAAGCCAGAAATGGAGCTGTGGCTCAAATGGTAGAGCAGTAACCTTGAACAAAAAAGCTTAGGAACAACACCCAGGCCCTGAGTTCATACCTCAAGACTGGAACAAATAAAACAAAAAGAAAAGAAATGGAAGCAAAGCCCTCCCACCATGTTGAAATATTCACCCAAACATCAATGAGTAGAGAAAACAGTAGGTTCTTGGTAAATATTGAAGAATGAGAGGAACAAAATCACTTATACAGAGAGACCATGTGCTCTGGGCTGAGCAGTGAGTGGGATTTGATTTGCTGATTCTTTATCTCCCAGTGGCCCAGTCATACCCTGTGACTGCTAAAATGCATGTGCATGTCTGTGTCTATATGTGCATTGCACAATAGTGTGCAAATGTGTGGCCCCAGAAGGTATATTTGTTTTACAAACCAAACTTCTCATTTTCTTCTCTTTGTGGTTGCCAATAACTGAACATTGAGAAGACCCATGGAAATCGGGTAAGTTGTTAGAAATGAAATGTTTACTCTTTTTTAAAACCCATGCTAACTTTAAAAAGTTACAGAAAGACCAAAAGAAGGAGTACTAAGTTGCATGTATAGTATGTACCTACACAAATATAGTATGTACCTACACAAATATCATGAAAAAAAAACAAGAAGGAAATCAGTTCCACATTGAACAGGCTAATAGTTACACTCCCTTGGGAGATGAGGGGCTATTTAAAATTTTCTTTACTGCATTTTCCAATCTGTATATAATGAAGCACAGTGTAATACAAGGACCCAACATGTTCCCTCGATGTCTGGGCTCTGTGAAAAAGATTTCTCATTTCTCTGTAGTAGGCATGAAAGAGCAGGTTGTGTTTCAGACCCACAGCATGTTGTATTGATGTGGAAGTTGTACGGTGCAACGCTGGTCCAGGCATTCTTAGGCTCTGCCTTCCTTGGACAGAAGATGGCCTCTAAGTCACCATTGTTTCTCCTGACACCAAATCTCAGGCTGCACTGAAGGGGTCCAGTGTCAAAGCCAAGGCTCGGAAGTTGGGCAGGTAGAAGGGGAAAACTTCACTTCCCAGGCTAAATGACTTGTGTGGGAAGCAATGGAATCCATGACTTAGTTCTTGCCTTGTTCTCTTTGAGCTTATTTCTCCATTTTTTCTTAGGCTTAAGATGAGAAAAGAACTGCCGGGTTCACTTTTTATGTTTGGTAGACTGGATCTGTATCTGAGATATTCAAATCCATTTAAAGAGCAGCAGGGCATTAAAAAAACATTGCCTTTCATAATAATCTTCCACTCTTTATAATAATCTTCTTGCACTCCACTAGACCGTATTTCATCTCAGAATAAATGGGGGAGGCAGGTGCTGATGGCTTACATCGCTAATCCTAGCTGCTCAGCAGGCTGAAACATGGAGGATTGTGGGTTGAGTCCAAGCTGAGTAGAAAAGTCTATGAAATTCCTTCCCCAAAATAATTAGCAGAAAGCTAGGCTGGACCCCTGGTTCAAGTGGTAGTGTAGTCACAAGCAAACTGAGTAAGTGTGAGGCCTTGAATTTAAGCCTCAGTAGCAGAAGAAAAAAAGAAAGGAAGGAAAGAAAGAAAGAGAGGAAGAAAGGGAAGGAAAGGAAAGGAAAGGAAAGGAAAGGAAAGGAAAGAAAGGAAGTATTGGCTAGGTGTGGTGGTTCATATCTGTTATTCCAGCACTCAGTTGGCCAAGGCAGGAGAGTTCCAGACCAGCTAGGGCTAAGTAGCTATGTGACCTCAAACAGACTGTTTAGCTGCTCTGAGCTATACTTCAATGTCTTTGAAAGAAATACATTACTTAGGCTTCATTGCTCCAGCTCTGTGGCTTGTGACTCTGGACAAGAACGAAGGGATCTTGAAGAATCCACACTGCCTCTTGCTAACCATTGCCCACCATGTTTCAGGTGGTCCTCACCCCAGGGTGCTGCTGGAGGGCCTTCAGGGCTGAGCTAGACTCTCAGTCCTCAGCTTAGGTGAACTTGGACATGAATCAGTGTATTCTCTCTGCTCCTGAGTGCTGCTGGAGGCCAGCTTCTGGACGTCTCCTGAACAGGAAATTGCCCCTGACTGGACCTGCACTTCTTTAAACAGGCAGCTAAACAGCCTGTTTGGGGTCACACAGCTACTTAGTCACAGGACCAGCTCAGGAGTAGTTATCCAACTAAAGCCAATACTGCTTTGTTTATTTTGTTTTGTTTAGAGACAGAGTCTGGTTATGTAGCCCTAGCTGGTCTGGAACTCTCTATCTTCTGCCTCAGCCCACTGAGTGCTGGAATAACAGACATGAACCACCATACCTAGCCAATGGGCAGTGAGTGCTCACAGCCTAGTCTCTACACCTCTAACCATGTGACCTCCTCCTTCCCAAGTAATCTGGAGACCATCATCTCATTTCCGGGGGGCCAGAGCCTGAAGGGCTTCGTCCTGGTGACAGTTTTGGTGGAGAAGGCTGCAGCGCCTGGAATTAAGGTCTCTTCTCATTTCATGACCTTCTTTTTCTCTTAAGTAAAATGTCATTATGACCTGCCTTCCCCTCCTTTTCCCTCTCCTCCCCTCCCCTCCTCTCCCTTCCCTGCTTCAGCATAGGTGAATGCAGGCCTGGTGCTACTTTGTTCAAATCTGAGGGGAAAACTCTGAATTCCAGCCCGCAATGTTAGCTCCATTTTTCTCAACTGGCTATAAGACTAGGGGCAAACTCTGGCTTCATCAGCAACACAGGCACTGTTCTAGGAACAGAAATCAGTGTGCACAAGGCAGAAACAATCCCAGCCTTAGCAGCGCATGAGCAAATGCAGGAAGATGGATAAAGACAGGGAGCAAAGGAGGAACATTCAGGGGTTCATGAAAAGATAGACTTGAAGGGTCAGACAAAATGTCCCCAGGGAAATGACAACTCAGAGAAGAGATGAGCGAAGCACAGGAGGTGGGAAAGAAAAGGCTTTAACTAGGAGAAGCATTAACGATGACCTGACCTGTTCCTGGAGTTTGCACACTTGAATTTTTTCAGGGGTCAGACAGGTACAGGAAAAGCTCCATGTGAGACACACAGAGCTGTTTTTGCATTGTCTGGATGTAAGGTTTAGTTAGATTTATCCCTTCTTGCAAAACTTCCTTGGTGAGCAGATACAGAATGTCTGCCATGTTCTCAGCAGAGAGCAACCCTGGTGTCATTAATACAGCCCCTTGGTCCACTGTCAGAAGTCAGGGGAGGCCAGATGCTGGCGAAGGCCCAACTGTAGCTCACACCTGTAATTTTAGCTATTCAGGAGGCTGTGATCTGATGGTTGTAGTTCAAAGCCAGTTTGGGCAGGAAGGTCCATAACATTCCATCTCCAATTAGTCAGTAAAGAAAGCTGGACAAGAAGTGTGTCTCAGATAGAGTACCAGAAGGAGGACTGTGTGGGACCCCAAATACAAGCCCCAATATTGGCACACATGCACACATATCTGGAGGTACAGCTCTGAACTAGAGCACATGCTCAGCATGTGTATGGCTATGGGTTAATTTCTAAGGAAGCAAACAACAAAACATGAAAAATGGTTAATCATGTTGCCACTTTAGTTCTCATGTGTTGGAAAATCAGAATTTTATCTTCCCCTACATAGTCTCATTGCTTCTTAAGGAACCAATGTAAGACAAGGCAGGATTTGTGACAGAGATCTTGTGAAGCAGGGGCATCTTTAGGATCTATCTGATGCTGTGTGAGACAGAGCTTGGAAGACCTGGGCATGGCTCAGACATACAGTAAGAGCCAGGCTCTGGATTCTGATCACAGTACCAATAAAATGAGTTTGGGAACAAGTGAGTATACCAAAGTTGAAGATGCAGAAATAGAAATTACAATATACAATAACCTAGGAAAAGAAGGAAGAAAATTGAGAGTTCAGGCCCTTCAGAGGTAGAACAAGTAGCAGTCAGTAGAAGGATCCAGAACATCTGGGCACCATGCTGTCTGGATAGCACCAGGAAGGTACAGGCCCTTAGAGAGACGTAAGTTTCAGTTTATTGGTGCTTGAGGGCCTCAGCTCAGCAGTCAACTGGGAAAATGACTCTTGTTCCAGGCCCTTGCCCAGGCAGTGAATGCCCTCCAACAGTCCAACCAAGATGCCCTGATCCATGCCTTGCAGCAACTGAGACTATCCATTCTGGACATCACCCGAACTTTGGGACAAATGCATGGTAAGAGGGAGGATGGCTGGAGTGAAAGTCAAGGACACTGCATGAAGAAAAGAGCCTGCGGCTTGGGGGACATCCTAAATGGATTATGATGCATTTCTGCATGTGTCCACAAGATGGTGCTAATGTATTTTCTTGGTTTTCATGTAAAATTTGCTGTTTGAACCTTTAGAGAATATCATTTTTCAGTTTGTAAAGCTTACATAATATATATGTATATGTACCCATACAATATTTAATATATAATATATTTTCAGTTTGTAGGCATTATATATATGTGTGTATGTATGTTACATAAATTATATATGCATATATATGTGTGTGTATATATATATATATATATTCCTTGTTTATTTTTTTCTTGAGATTGAGGCAGTGTTCTTGATTGAGGCAGTGTTCATTTTTCATGGGTTAGATATATCTCTGATATACTGAAATCTTGTTGAAGTTTAGGAGGAGGGATCGGCCAACCCTGTGATAGTGGTCTCAACCCTGCTGGGTAAGGCTTCTGCCTGCTAGGCTGTGATGGTAGAATTTATCTTCTCCTTCCCTCACACCCCTTTTATTCTTTCTCTCTGACATGGATTTAGAGTTATGTGGCCAGTGCAGGCAGGAGTTGCCAAAGGTATGGGCAAGCTAAATGGCTCACCCTTCCTGGATGGGTTGGCATCTTGTTCTGGCTGCTACATTCAGTGTCCAATGTCTGGCAAGCTCTTCAAGTTCCACTAACAGAGAAATTAAAAATCCTGCCTGGTGAGTGTTTAAGAAAGGTTTAGAAGAGGTATGTATCTGTCTTTCTAGCAAGAGAAAAGCAGAATTATCAATTTCTTTGAATTCATCTATGTGCCAGTCTGTAATTTATTAGCTACTCAGGAGGCTGAGATCAGGGCTAGAGGAGTGACTCAAAAAGTAGAGCACACACATAGGAAGCAAACCACACGAGCTCAAAGCCCTGAGTTTAAATCTCAGAACCAATAAAAGAAAAAGAAAGGAAGGCAGGCAGGCAGGAAGGCAGGAAGGCAGGCAGGCAGGCAGGCAGGCAGGAAGAAAGGAAGGCAGGAAGGAAGGCAGGAAGGGAGGCAGGAAGGCAGGAAGGCAGGAAGGCAGGAAGGAAGGAAGGAAGGAAGGAAGGAAGGAAGGAAGGAAGGAAGGAAGGAAAGAAGGAAGGAAGGAAGGAAGGCAGGCAGGCAGGCAGGCAGGAAGGAAGGCAGGAAGGAAGGAAGGAAGGAAGGAAGGAAGGAAGGAAGGAAGGAAGGAAGGAAGGAAGAAAGGAAGGAAGGCAGGCAGGCAGGCAGGCAGGCAGGAAGGAAGGAAGGAAGGAAGGAAGGAAGGAAGGACCTGAGAAAATATGTGTTCACAGCATAGAATAGGGAGAAGAGCTTTGTCATCTTGTTATTGAATAAATCCCCTGATTATTCCACACGCTACACTTGCAGCAATCCACCTATAGTCATGGGATTCTGTATTATTTCCACTTAACTTTCTTGTTCTACACGGTGTACCTGCATTGAATTAAATTTAGCTAAATTTTCTAGGCTCCTGCCAAACAAACTCCCCTAGCTAGTGAGATGCATTTTAGCTTCCCAAAGACTGACTCTCTGAGTTCATGACCATGACTTAGCAAAAGCCTATTAGAGGAACAACACAGGTGTTTTCCTGTTCCACAGCATTACAGTGGCCTTTAGTTAGATCATGAGACATTTCTACCATGTCACATGCAGTGTTGGGTGCACTGAGGTGCATACCTGGTGTCTGGCTAACACAGGCTTTCCTGGTGCTAACTTTCAAAGTCACTTAATAAGCTTAGAACACCCCTCTGTATTGTCTTCATCTGTGATGGGGTCTGATGATCTGAAAGTCCAAGGGATCCCTCCCTTGCCTCCTCTAGAGGAAGATTTCCCATACAATTAGACTTAGTAATAGACTGTACTACTCAGCCCAACTCACCTATGTGATGAGTTCTTATCTTGTCCCTGCTTGTGATAGGCTGGTAACCAATAGGATGCAGTAATGGGAACCTCACATGACTTGCAAAGCAAAGCTAGAAAGGTTGAGGAGGCCACCAACTGCAAGTGACAAAGGCCAGCCAACCAGGTTGGTGCTCAAGTTGGCATCTGGAAATGACCTCAGACCTCTAGGCTCCAATATCCAGTTACCTTCAGCATTTAGGTCCTCCTCCCTGAGGCCTAGAAACAGGGAGCGTGGATTCCTTACCATTGAAATGGCTTACTTTGCTTAATATAATTTTTATTAAGTAAGTAAAGTAAGCCAGACACAAAGAAACATAGGTTGCATGGTTTGCCTCATTTGTGGTAGCTAGAATGTGCCTATAAATCTACAAGTAAACACACTGGATGGTTAAAAATATATACTGGGACATGATAAATGATACAGGTTTCTAGGCATTCACACAGAGTGAGACCAAAGGAAGATAGTCTTAGGAGTGGATCACAAAAGCACGATGCCTCTGTGCCTTTGATCATATAAAATGATATTTATTGAAATAAACCCAGGAAATGGAAACAAGAGGTTTGTTTGTTACGGTTTTTGTTCTCTTTTCCTTTTGTCTTGTTTGTTTATTTGTCTTTGGGAGGGCAAGGGGAGGTCACAGAAATAGTGGGACTAAGTGTAAACAAATGCAGCAGTGGCACTCACTACATACTATGTTGAAAATGTACATACAACTTGTGGGTGAGGACAGGAGGGAAATGCTGGGAGAGAGCAAGGGAAGGGGTGACATTGTTCAAAAAGAATCTGATTTATATAACTGTAACCCCTCTGTACATCACCTTTATAGTAACAAAAATGCATGAAGAAATAAAACATTATCAATTAACACTAAGAGAAAAATAAACAGAAACGTAATGGCACTCTGGGTGCTGGTGGGACTCACTCCTGTAATCCTAGCTACTTAGGAGGCTGAGAGCTAGGGATTCCAGTTTGAAGCTAACCCAGGTAGAAAAGTCTGTGAGACTCTTATCTCCAATTAACCACTGGAAGTGAAACTGTGATTTAAGTGATAGAGTGCTATTAGTCCTTGAGCACAAAAGCTAGGGACAGCACCCAGGCCTGAATTCAAGCTCCAGGACTGGCACAGAAAACAAAAACAAACAAACAAAAAAGAAGAAGAGAGAGAGAAAAAAGTAATGGCACAAAGAAAGAGTGGTTGGTTATGCTACAAGAGTAAGCACAAAACCGAAGCTCTAAAAGTAAAAATCAATACTAGAAGAAGCTGCAAGGTTAAGGAATCACAGAGAATTTCTAAGCATTGTCTCTGGCTTATAGTTGCTAACTCTTTTTCCTGCTTGATAAATGGAGCTTGGCAATTCCCGAAACAGATTTCAGCATGCGATTGCATCTTGCAGAGTCTGCCCTTATAAACATGTGCCCTTCTGCCTTCCTTCTCAAATACATCTTTCTCTAGCACATAACTCTGCTCACCCTCAATGCAGAGGAGAAATACCTTTGTGGACCGCAGTTGGCATGGCAGAGAACCACCAAGCTGCCCCAAAACTTCCTTGGCCTTTGCTCGACTCCACCCTGCCCAGCTTTCCACAGTTGTACACAGTGCTCTCTACCGGCTGCAGAAGAAACCCACACCACTTTGTTTTCATAATCTGACTACCATAAATCTATTTTCAGCCTGTCATTGTACTAAAAATATCAAACACATCCATCTCTGAATGTCATTGGTAGTGGAGTGTCAGCATGCCAGCTCTATCTTCAAAGTTTTCATCTAACATTCTTTTCCCCCAAGTTGGTGATTTACTTCTCTATCCATCAGGTCTGAGACTTGTGATTCATTGGAAAGCTAAAATACGCTCATATATTTAGAGACCTAATTTTAGCATGTTTATTGACCTAAGAGATAATTTTTTCCTTAAGAAGGTTAAGGTCTGTTTGTCTCTTTCAAAAAGCCAGGCAGGGTTCTGACTTTATTTCCTTCTGAGTCAACAGAACTTCTGGCTTCTACTTGACCCATTGGCAGCTTTTAGTCATTTTTCTTTTCATAAGTGCAGAGGAGTCAAAAACGGTTCCTTCTAATAATTTGATATATTTGTTTAAATTAGATTTTCTAAGGAATACATTGGGGCTAGCCTGTCGTGTGAACTGCTGAAACCATTCTCTTCTGAGTGATTCGCTTAATATTGTTAGAGGAATTTTCCATTTTAGCTTGTGACCTCATTCTATCTAAAGTCAACGGGAAAATAATTAATACTGAAACTCTTCTCTGTTAAAATCCATACAAGAATAAGGCCACATTAATATTTCCGGTGTCTTCACACAAGAGTTAGTTACTACATCAAAGCCATCTGAACATGTCTCAGCCACTTAAGCCACCATGTTAAATCTGATAGCCACCTATCTTAAACCCAATGTTGTCATGTTTACCCATCACATCTAAAAACATTCACCTGCATGCACACACAAAGTCAAGTCTCTCAGCAATGAAGGTTTCTTGTAAATCTTCACTGAAGTCCTCTTAGGGACACAAGATGGACTTTAAATTACAAATCATAAATACAACAAAACTACCTAAAAATCATGATTCAGGTTTTAAGTGGTTGAGGTTAACTTTTGATTTGCTTATACACGTACAACTTCCCTATTCTTCACTCTTTTGTATGTCTTTCTTTTGCTTGGAGTGCATGAGGATGTCTAGTAGTGCATGTCTGTAGCAACATCTGTCATCTAAAATTTATCATATCATCCATGCACCATGGTTGTAATCTTAGCTACTCAGGAGACTTGAGATTTGGATGATCACAATCCAAAGCTATCCCAAGACTCCCTATCCAATTAGCCCACAAATGGAAGGCTGGAAGCATAGCTCAAGTGCTAGAGTGCCAACAGAGGAGGCAAGCTGAATGAGGGGATGAGGCTCTGAGATTCAGCCTTGTTAGCATCTAACGAATGAACGAAGTACCAGAATAAACAAGGTCTGGAGGCATACCTCAAGTGGCAGTGTGCTTGCCTAGCAAGTGCAGTGCCTTGAGTTGAAA